ACCGTATACCCAGTTGGATGCCCTCTCTGTTCACACTGCACCAGGCACTGGCTAAACAGTAGTGCAACAGAGCCTGCAGCAGGTTGGAATACAGCAGAGGGTTAGCGATGTGTGTGCACGTCAGGGCCTAGCGTCTGAGAGGTAGAGACTGACCCTGCAGCCTCTCAGCCTGGCTAAACAGAGGAGGACAGGCATGGATCTCTGAGGACAGACCGGAGTGCTCCTCAGTCACCCTGCTTGCTTCAACACAAACACATCAGACCGCCATGGACTGCAAAAAACACCACAGGACAACCAGAAGAAACAAACGTAACGAATGTTGAGATTCAAATAGACTATTGAGAAATTGTGGTTTGGCGGAAAGAAATATTGTTTTTGTCTATTTCTTTACTTGGGCATTTCATTGTTTCTGAGGAAGTGACTTGAAACACTACAGAGCCAATATTAGTTTAATGGAAAAAAACAAAAGAAAAATGAAAAAAAGTTGTATTCCGTAAATTATGTACAGTTTTTATATTCGTTAACCAATGTATTCTTGCTGCCTTCTAGATAATTTATTTTGCCACACATTACTGCACAGTTGTAAATAACCTATGTACTGTAATATCACTCAGTTAAGTGTAAAGAAAAAACATAAAAGAAATAAAAAGTATCTTTTAATGTACAGTTCACTTTTGGGCAGCACTTTCCCCCCCCCTACCCCCCTTCATATCCATGGGCCAAAATGTGTACACGATTCTGTCAGTATTTGAAAGACTCCAGTGCACAGTCGTATGATCCCATCTCTAGTTTCAGTCCAGGGTTAAGTAAGACAACTCAACCTGGACATGGATCACCACAACTTACAAATAGCTGACAGAGAACACTTCTGGATTTACCTGGCCTCCCACAGGCCAGCCACCATATAGTCCCCTCAGATGTAGCAGAATAGTTAAGGATTTATTTAAAGAATAGACAGAGGATTATTATTCATTGCTTTACTACACAATTATATCTGAACAAATTCGAACCAAGAAAATGCCTTTTTCAGTGAAAAAAAATGTACTCATTGTTGGGCAAAGTCACATAGTTATATATGGGTGGGATGAAAGCTAGAGAGATGTCATTCACAAGCAAAACCATCATGTAAATGTAGAATGGTTTAAATTTAATTTTCAGTGTTTTTAGTTTTTACAAAAATTTGGACTGAAATCATTTCTAATGATCACAAAACATCCTTGTCTAAAACCAAAAGGACACAGGTCTTTCAGCACTTCAGCACATAGTCTGTTCTCCCAGCTTGACTGAAGAGTTGTAACAGCCACTGAGAGGTTTCGTTATATACTGACTCTTAATATTGTTTTGTCAGTCTGTCTGCCCCTTTGTCCAATGTTGGAGAGCAGCTTATTTTCTAGGTGCTGTTCCAACTTAACTCACTGGGTGGTGCCAGAACCTTATTTGGCTCTGCATGGTACCTGTGGCTTTTCACTTGAAGGGGTGTTTTTAAATATATTAAAATTTTATTACAGCCTTTAGGGAGTTCAGTACCCTTTATAGGATTCCAGTAACACACCTAAATCAGTTTGGTAGGCAAAGAAATTATAATGGGCTTAAAACCTTAGCTCCAGTCACATCAGCCTTCTAAATTTTTTATCAACGTTTAATCTTCTTGGGGGGTTGGCTAGAGTTGTCAGGGATTTTAAATGTTAGGTTGCTTCCTCATATTTTGTGTTGGCATTTGCCATAATGGTGTTCTTGTGTCAGGCCCAAGCAGACAGTTACGAGACCTAAATCTTTTCGGAATGAACCAAAAAGCAGACAGATGTTAACAAAACCAGTGGAGGGGAAAGAAATAGCTTATTGCTGAATAGATTTTTTTTTTTTAATCGTCAAATCCCGTTGATTTGTGGTGACTTGTGTTGATTCTCTATTTTTAGTGGGTCTCGGTCTTGAAAAGCTTTCCCGACCTACCACACAGGCGGCCTGGCCCCTCTGTGTTTGAGAGCTGCTCATGTTTCCTGATGGCAATATTATCTGAAACTTTTAAGTTATTTACACACTGTCAGTCAGTATAGCTGTGTATGGTATGTCTAGTCAAGTGCAATGGTTGTTGCTATTACACTGTGCAGACAAGGTGGCTAGATGTAGAGTCCTCTGTATTTTTTGAGAGATACACACATCCTGGTTGGTATACATACATATTTGGATACAAATAGCCAGAAATTTGTTTTTTAAACCCCTGTTTGTCGTTTTATTTTCCTTGTTGGTTTCTTAGACCGTTTTGGGGAGGTGGGTTATGGGTCTCTTTTGTTCACAGATTCCTTGTGTGTCTTTTTTTAGCTCAGCCTATGTAGTTCTGAATGTTGTTGTGTTTATCTTAGGGTTTTTTTTTGTTCCTGTACAAAGCATAAACACCAGTGGCATGTCAATCACGTTGCTTATCGAGCAGAATGTATACCGTTACTATGCCCTGACTGACCACACCCTCTCGCTATTGTTTACATGACATCAAGTGTGTTTCCGTTTCATGCGTCATCTGTTTTAACGGTTTAAGCCCTGCCTTTGTTTTTACTTCTGTAATCAATTTGAACCACAAAGGCTTGAAATGGTGATGGTTGACACAACTGACAGGCGATTTCTCCCCGAGTCCGCGGTACACCGCTGCACAGAGCAATAGCCTAAACACATCCATCCGCGTGGATTCTCTGATGTGAATATTCAACTAACAAAAAGAGCGAATCCTGGATAAATTGAATACAGACACAAACACGCATCAGTCCTCATGCACAGTGGAGCACTTGGCCATGGTGATACAGATGCTAGCCTGACACCACCTCAGTCAGCAACATATTACCTCTACTCTCCTCACATTCACTCATATTTGTTTATTTTAGATTTGTTATTTGTTGTTTTTTCTTACTGGACATAAATATACATAATTGCTATTTTTTCATTCTATAGAATCACGATTTCAAGCCTTTTTTTTCTAGTTTTCATTTGTTGATTATTTTTTGTTTTGTTGATTTTTCTTTTTTTTAATTAAAACCCAGACTGTAGCTATTTCTTTGTTCCTTTTTTAGAGTGGGAAATGACTAATAAAAAGCATGGAGAACTACTCTTTAAATGGTGAGAAATAACCTATTTATTATCTTTTTGTTTTTCTGACACCTGTGGTATGTTTTGAGTTGAAGTTGGTCTCCGCTGTGTAAATTTTCCTCCTTGTAATGCGTGAAAGAGACATACTGTACATAGCTCTGTAAATAAAACCTCCCAGGACGTTTTGCACCCTCCTCTTTGTACTAGTCTGAAAAATTGCGTAGAATGTGGGGTTCTAACAGCAACGAGCTGCGTGCGCTTGCTGCAGGTGATTATGATGTAACAATGTAACATTTTTTTATTTGTACAATGTAGTTTGTGTACATATTGTTGGAGCAGCTAAGAGGGCGGGAATATATGAGGGGGTTGTCGATGCTATTGTCAGTGCTGTAACAGAAATCCAGTACTTTCACCTCTAGCTGTTGTTAATTTCCTGCAAAAAATAAAGAAAAAAAGGCATAAAAAATTAAAAATGTGAAAAACTGAAAATGAGAATGGATGGGGGAAAAAAAGACTAAAACTCAAAAGTAAAAATTCTAAATTGTTATTTTCTACAGTTGCATGTACAGAGAGCGCGAGAACTGCTGTTGTTCCTCAGAGATTATGTTCGTTAATAAAATTTTGAAATATTACCAGCCATTCTGTGGTTCTTGATTTTGATGTTTGTCTGTATTATGATTGTGTGCAACTGTGACATAAAGTTGCCATTGATCATTTCTGATAGACCCAAATATATATATACTCAAACAAAACAAATAGGCTGTATTTGAAAATATAATTTTTAATAATGAATATAAATAATACCATTTATATAAATATAATGACCAACCAAACTCTTATGGTGGTCTTTCTGTAGTCAAAGAGATGCATTTCTATTGATAGCAGGATGAGGTAATGTGTGTGGTGTCAGAAAACAATGTGAGCAAAAGATGTTTCACAATCTGAATATTTGAAAGCCTTCCCTGACATGACTGCCAGATTTGGTTCTTCTGGTAATCTCTTTTTACCAAACCTATTAATGGGTTTGACTGCAATGAACATTATAAACTGCACGATCACTAAGCAGAAAAACCTGTTTGTGTTATGTGTTGTCATTATTCACAACAGTTCCTTGTAACTTTTATTTTACTGTTGTTTACTACAAGTCACCTGCTGAACCAGAGAAAGGACACATTAGTGCAAAGCATTCCTAGAGCCTGAGTTAGACTAGACAGTGTTGCACATGAAGCTCAGTTTAGTCATCACAAGGAGCACTACTTAGCCTGTGTTGTGTAATATCTTCAGTGGCTCTGGTAAAAAGTTTTCCAAAATGTGTTTGAAAAACACTAGATACCCCCTATGACATCATCAGGGTTTTATCATGTTGGCTTGATGCAAAATTTTAAACAGAAAGTGAATTTTCAACTGGAGGTGTGGGGATTGAAACTAGTGGACCCTGGGGGAAAGGGGAGATTTAAAAAATATGCTGTTGAATTGCATTGTGGTCAATGTAGGAAACAGCTTTTTTTTAAAAAGTTGACTCATACTAGAGACTGAAAGTCAGCATATCTCAGCCTCTGCTTTAATTTTTTTTAAATTCTGTATGTCACACGCCCCCCAGCATACAAAATTGGTGAAATATCTGTTTAACAACTGGGACTTTAGACTTGAGTTATAAACAGTTGAAAGTTTAACTTTTCTTTTCTTTTAAATTTTGATGTCAAAATTTTTTTTAATCAATTTTTATCAAACAGTGTTTTTGTGATTCTTGACGTCTCTTATCTTACACTGTATCTTACCCAGAACTCTGCTGACTGTGTTGTCGCGGGTGACTCGGGTGAAATTATTCACTGAAGCAGCCAAGCAGGTGTCTCATAGGTCTGAAGCCACCACAGACCTCCGCCCTCTACTCCTCTGCCTTCCCCGCCTCCTCAGCGCGCGCTATAACCTACCTGCAGCTGCGTCGCACGGCTGTCGAGCGTGCGCACTCACTGCGCCATGGCCACGGAACCATCTGTTACGGAAAACACTCGTCTTCAAATGGATTATGAGACGAAGATTTTCCCTCATACCGGCGGCTATGGACGCTACAATCGAATCGTGGTCGTGTTCAGCTGGTTCCCCAACTTCGCGGTCATGCTGAATCTATTTAGCGACGTTTTTTACACTTCAATCCCGGACTCGTACCACTGCAAACCCGACCCACAGCTTCTGCCCTCAACTTTCCTCCTCAGCAACTTCACCAGACAGGGATACCTCAACCTCACCATCCCCTGGGTGAACGGCTCTGGTCTCAGCCACTGTGAACTTTTTAAGTACCCAGCCAACACATCGGACTTTTCTGAAAAGGTGCCAAGGGAGAGGGTTTCCTGCACCAAAGGGTGGGAGTTCGTCCATGTAGCGGGGCTCCAGAGCAACTTTGTCACTGAGGTAAGAGGCAATTTAGCCTGCAGGTCAACATTCAGGTCTGTATGGGTGTCTGGCTTAACTTTGGATATCTTAAAGGAGTTAGACACAGGGACGAAGTGAAAGACAATTTTTAGTTTATCCACATTTCTAGGTTGGTATAACGCAGAGTACCCACTGCATTGCGTTCAAAAACAGCTTATACCCCATGACTAACTAGAGTTGGTTACTGTCACAAGATCTCTGACACTAGAGAAACTTTTTCCTTGGACTCTTCGCTTTGCTCAATGACACTTTTTGGCTTTGCTTCAAAATGGTGGTGCTGAACTGGATTTGTTCCAGATTCTGCTCAGTAAAAGCAGTTTATCTCTGCTGGCAGCTTGGCTTGTGTGGTCATGAAGATGGCTGTTCACAGCATTCAGTCAATATTTGATCAGGTTGAACAGTTAAAACCTTGTTTTGCTCAGTCTTTTTCACTCTTAACTTATCTGCTGTCTGGTACTTCTCATAGATAAACGGTCAAGCAGGCCGCAGACGTATGACTAATTCTTAGACCTTATACTATACCATTATATATACATCTGTAGTAATGACTATGTGGATGAGCATATGAAAAGACAAAAAGATCTCTTTTTGACGCTTGGTGCATGTGTGATTTCCAAGCTGTATATGTCTCTTATAACAGCACCTGAACACAGATGATAGGTTTCGGTGTGATTGCATCTTGTTGTGCAACTCCAAGTAAAATAAGCAGCAGGAACTTGTTTATCTTTTGGACTTCAGCTATTCAAGGATCCATCCCAGTCTGCAAATATTGATTAAAGAGTAACAACAAATATATTTCCCAGTGTGACAAACGTGCACTCTACAGCTGCGTCCTTGCAGTATTTTGTAACGCATATTAAAACAACATCGGATAATTTAAACAGTCTCTAAACCAAAGTTGTGGGTGTTACAAGCTTCGGTGAAGAGCAGGGGCTGACGAGCAGGACAAAGTCATTATGGGTAATTACCCCTCAACAAGAAGCATTTTTCTCCTGTTCCCCCCTGGCAAACACTGGGAAGTCAGAGGCCTCCATGTTCCTTCCTGAGACCCTGAACACCTCCTTCACCAACAACAACTTCCTCTGTCCATGACGCCATTCGCTGCAACAAAGGAAAACTTTAATAAAGGAAAAATTTAATCGAGTACAATAGTCCTCATCACAATGAAATATACAGGCAGGCCAAAATAACATAAACCCCTTAGAGTACGGTAGTCCTGCAGTGAACTGGTAAAGCTCAGTTTGTTGTTTTTTGGCAGTTACATTTGAACTTTGAATATGCAACAACTAAAGCACAAGAATAGTTGGCGTTATAAGGCCCTAAAGATGGGTCTTGCTTTTTTACCTGACGCCCTGTCACCATCCAACACCCTCATATTGTGCTTATGGTATTTCTAAATTAAGTTGTGTTAAAAATAACCAAGCAGCAAACATGACAGTATGGAATATTCTAGCATAGGGATACTCCATGCAATGCATACCGGTGTTGAGGAGCAATCGGGGTTCGAAGAGGTCTTGTGGCCTTCATAAGGTACTAGAGTTTTGACCTCTTCAGACTTTTTTCCCATGCAGCACAAAGATGTGCTAGAAATCCCTGCTCTGATTTAATAAGTCCAATCTTTCATGTTTGCTTCAGGCTCCTGTTACAAATTAATCTAAGGTCGTTAATCAGTGTTCTGCGTAATGACTCGTGTGTTTTTGATTTACTGTAAAGTAGTCGCTGCATGAATTTCTGGTGTTGCAAACACTGTAAAACTACTGTGTATTATGTGACAAGGACAATGTCTCAAAAATCATGGCATGGGGAAAACAGCCAAGTGCAGCAATGTTCACAAATGGACCATCACCACCTTAGCGTTAGGTAACAGTATGATACCCAAGTTCCAAACATTTTAACATATATTAACAGTTTTTTATACAAACCCCTTTTTAGTAAACAAAGCAAGTCAAACTTCTCATTATTTTAAATATTATATAACATCAGCGGTACAGTTATACCAATAACAAATAATAAGAACAAGTTCAAACCAGAGCAAGAATTTAAGCATTTAATGTTGTATTTTGATACTTGATCATTTTTTTAAATTTGTCCTACAGGCACATTTCCATCAATGCCAAAAATATTTTGAGGTTTGTGTCCCAGCCTTAATTCCACTTAGGTTTTGTGGATGTGCACGCAACTAGTCTTGCAAATTGTATCCCAAAGCAAATACAAACTAGAGCCTCAAACCTGACCGTTCTATTGAAACTGTCAAAGAAAAACATTGTATTAGCATATTAAGATATTCTGCAGGGATGTCGTGTTTTATTCACTCTATATGTGAAGATTTTATATTTTAAGTGTTCACCTTTTATTGAATCCATACAGTAATTAATTTTGATACGTTTGATCTCAAACATTGTAGCCATGTGGATCTGTCAAATGCTCGCTGTCATTATAAACCTCAACTACACACAGAGCACATAGTAGATGAAACAAGGAAAAGGAAGGGAAGGGAGTGGAGAAGAATTTTCTTACAGGCAGCAACTGGTACTAACCAGGCGTAGAGCTGCTGGCACGCTCTTCTTTGAGCACTGCTTTGTTCTAATGTAATAACACTGTCAGCAGACATCTTAACTCAATTTGGAACGACATGATCTACATTCCTGCTTCCTCACAGAAATCTCTGTTTGTTACTTGACTGGTAGCCTGCTATTCTCTGCATGTCAAATTACAATGATGCAGCATACTGGCACAATTTGTTCATATCCTTTTTAAGCTGTTGATTATACAAATCATGTTTTTCAAGAAATTGAGTTATCGACATATGTATAATTTATACACTTCACTCAAATTTGGGGTGTGCTTTACATATACTGCAAATCACATGTACTTTACTGCCATCCATTTTCCCTCCATTTCAGGCAGCCATTGGTTTAAGGGGTGGCAGTCAACTCCAGAGACTTGAAACATTAAATAAGGTCATCCAACCAAAATCAGATGAAAAATTAAATACCTGGAAAAACAATTGTTGTTTTCAAGGAAGCTGTGATATCAGATTTTGAGTGTCACTTGCCGGAAAGCAGTGCATTCTCAGCCATCAAAGCAGCTTTTTTTAATTTTTATTTAAAAAGGCCACTAAATATTCACTGCAATGGCTTATCTATCTCAACCAGGTTTCAGACAAATTCACTGAAACTTATCACTGCCTGAAACCTGAGAAATCTCAAATATTACTCTGTGCTTTATAAAACGATTTGAGGTCCAAGCATATTTGGATGGTTGTTTCTCATTTAATTGATAAGAAGAAAAACTCTTGCTTTCCTATGAAATAGTGGTCGTCGCTATATGCTGATGCTCTGAGGTATGTAAATCTACTTTCAGAAACATTTGATGTAGCTTATGACCTTCAGTGGAGATATATTTCACATGACTACATTTGACTAAATTTGCTTTGTATCATTGAAACGGATTGACTTATCGATTAATGAAGATCAGTGAAGTCTGCAGATGATCCTAACTAAGTTTAGGGATAATTGGTTTCTGATGATAGCAAAAACAGGATTTTGAGAAAATTGAGAATAAAGTCGCACTTAATTGGAGAAGACCAGATGCAGATGGCTTGAGAGATTAAAATGATGAAAGAATTTGGACTCTAGGCCAAGCTGTTTGAGATCATTACAACCCACCTGTCAATTTTATCTCACAGTTTTTGCAGCACATACACAATGGAAAGAAAGAAGGAGAAATAATGAGAACAAAAACAGTGTCAGTGCTGGAGCCCCTAAAAAAACACTATTATAATGATTTAACCTTTTTAATAAGTGAAAGGATGCGCACACAGTCTTGCTGGTTGGTATGCTGATGCTTGCTAACCAACATTTTCATTTACAGTATCTCACAAAAGTTAGTACACCCCTCACATTGTTGTAAATATTTGATTATATATTTTCATGTGACAACACTGAAGAAATGACACTTTGCTGCAATGTAAAGTAGTGAGTGTACAGCTTGTATAACAGTGTAAATTTGTTGTCCCCTCAAAATAACACAACACAATCCATTAATGTCTAAACCGCTGGCAACAAAAGTGAGTACACCGCTAAGTGAAAATGTCCAAATTGAGCCCTAAGTGTCATTATTTTGTGTGGCCACCATTATTTTCCAGCACTGTCTTAACCCTCTTGGGCATGGAGTTCACCAAGCTTCACAGGTTGCCACTGGAGTCCTCCTCCACTCTTCCATGATGACATCACAGAGCTGGGGCCGGTTTCACAAAGATAGACTTTGACTATGGCTTAGATATAGTAGATAGTCTTCAGATAGACCTCTAAATCAGACCGTTGCACATAGCTCTGAAGAATCTCACTATCTTAAGTAGGACTACACTTCTGGGTAAAATAAGACATTGCAACAACAAAAATGGAGGATTGAGTAGGCGAATCAGCCACTCAGTGCAGTTTACCCCAGCGGAAAAAATGTGTTTGCGGAAGCAGTATAATAGTTATAGGGACATTTTACTTGGAAATTTAGCAGAGTGTGGTTAAAAAAATAATAATTAAAAAAAAAAGCTTGATTTTGAAAACAACTACCATTGAACAGAGCGTCAAAGATACAGAAAAGATATATAATATATAAGAGGAAATATCCTAAAACGGGAGGAGGCAGGGCCTATGAGCAAATTTTAAACTAGTCTAACACTTATAGACCAGTCTAAAATAGTGTTGTGAAACCGGCCCTTGGTGGATGTTGATGGAGACCTCGCGCTCCTCCACCTTTCATTTGACGATGCCCCACAGATGCTCAATAAGTGTTCAGTTCTGGAGACATGCTTGGCCAGTCCATCACCTTTACCCTCAGCTTCTTTAGCAAGGTAGTGGTCGTCTTGGAGGTATGTTTTGGTTCGTTATCATGTTGGAATACTGCCCTGCAGCCCAGTGTCTGAAGGGTGGGGATCATGCTCGGTGTCAGTATGCCACAGTACATGTTGCCGTCTGGTTGCCGCCACAAACGCTTGAAATCATCTGAACCAAATAAGTTTATCTTGGTCTCATCAGACCGCAGGACGTGGTTCCAGTAATCCATGTCCTTAGTCTGCTTGTCTTCAGCAAACTGTTTGCGGGCTTTCTTGTGCATCATCTTTATTCTTGTGCTTCCATCTGGGACCACAGCCATGCAGACCAATTTGATGCAGTGTGCAGCATATGATCTGAACACTGACAGACTGGGTCAGCATGGATGGTTCCATGTAGGCCCGAAAATGACGTCAAAACCCTGTGAGATGTAACCATATTGCTTACATTATAAACTCTCAATGAATCTAAAACAACTATTCGGTCATCAGTGACGCTGCGTTGGTGTTTGGCAGGTGAGCCTCGTAGGTGGGCTGAGTAAACGGTGATGATCCGAGTCAGACAAACACACTGAACCAGAAGACTTTTGCTGGTGCAGCTACTAGAATTACGGTGTTTCTGCCATTGCTCTACGTAATTAAACCACGGTTTTGCTTCGCAATCATGTGCAGTAGATGCTGGTGTCAGCAGGAAGTAGCCCTGTAGTAGTATTTTATTGGTTCAAAACTGGCTTCACTGCTCTCCATTCAAAGCAGCGGGTTGGCTTAGTCCAGTGATGTACTGTCTGTGGTGATTACACACCTGTAACACTAACGAGTCACATGACACTGGGGAGGGAAAATGGAAAATTGGGCCCAATTTGGACATTTTCACTTAGCGGTGTACTCACTTTTGTTGCAGCAGTTTTGACATTAATGGCTGTGTGATGTGTTATTTTGAGGGGACAGCAGATTTACACTGTTATACAAGCTGTACACTCGCTACTTTACATTGTAGCAAAGTGTCATTTCTTCAGTGTTGTCACATGAAAAGTTATAATCAAATATTTACAAAAGTGTGAGGGGTGTTCTCACTTTTGTAAGATACTGTAAACCTCATAAAATGTTCTTCAGCAATTTGTCTTTTTTAAACCTAATTAAATTGCAGTGCTCTCTATTCTAAATGCCTTTTTTGTCCAAGTTAATTTTGAGTTTAGTTTTGGTCTGAGAATGTGCCAATGTACTTCTTTGTCTTCCTTGCAGTGGAACCTGGTTTGCAGTGACTACTGGAAAATCCCTTTGCAGCATATCTGCTTCATGACAGGATGGATTCTGGGATACATCTTCCTTGGTACATTGTGTGACTGGTAAGTAATCATTTTTTATATGGAAACCCACAATGGTCAATATTAAGACAATTAAAAAAAGACATGAGGACGTTAATAAACAATAAATTGTGGAAACTTTCAGCCCCCTGCCTCTCTTTAGCTAGCAAACACAACAACTGCTGTCTGTCTGCTTGAGTTAATTAACCAAATAGATGCTGCTGCTGTTCATAAACACAGTAACTCAACCATTGTAGCTTTTAAGTTTCCTGATGCTACCTACCTATCTGTCTAACAAGCTAGGCTAGCTTATGAGCTATTATTAGCATTAGCTAGCTCCTCTTGGCTAAAGTGACCACAGAGAAAGACATCATCTTTAGAATCAAAACACTGCCAAGGTAACTCTAAATTTACCAGCTAGCATTTGCTGCTGCCTTTAACTATCTTCACAACCTAGCTAGTTAGCCAGCTAGGTAGGTAGCATGTGCAGCCTTGTTATGCTAAATAAATAAGCAGGTGTTGTATATGTATGTTACTGGATTTATTTACAGTAGCAGCTAGATATCATAAACTCAGAATTTCATTGTTGTTGCTCTAGCAAACAGGAGCTAACTTGCTAAATCTTGTTGCAGTTGTTCAGATTGCTAGTTTAAGAGGCAGGAGGCATTTTTCCATAATTGTCCATAATTTCACTTACTGTATGTACTTGATTGAAAGATGATAGCAATGTTACTGTGCACGTGTGTTTTTAGGTTGGGTCGTCGGCGCTGTTTCGTCCTCTCCATCAGTCTGTCCAGTCTATTAGGGGTGGCCGTGTGTTTGTCCAACAGTGCGGTGGTGTTTCTGCTGCTGCGCCTCTCTCAGGGCTCCATGCTCGCTGGGGTATTTGTATCCTCGTACATTGCTCGTGAGTATCCTGCACGCGCATTTAAGCATTGTCCCACTTATCCAACAGTTATGTTTCCTGCAGCCTTATTCAGTAAGCGACTTCTCTGGTGGATTTTAAAAATAACAACCTCCGCTTCCTCCCCTACTCACTTCTGTTGTTTATTTTAGAGAACACTTTTGGATCCTGCATTTTGTTGGCTGGCACTGTGTTTATGCAGATGTTTAGTTTTTATATATATATCCCCAAAAAATTACATGAAGTTGCAAAGCAACTTGAGCTAGATGAGAGGCAGATGAGTAAATAAAATAGAGAATAGTGACACAGTTCAAGATATGCTGCTGTTTGTTATTATGTTAAACCCCACATGTTCTTGGCCTCAGTATTAAAGCCTTCTCTCACCAACTGATGGTTGAGTAAATTTGGATTTATCTTGTATTAAGGATTTTCTGCAGCCATTGTTTAGCCAAAATATTGTGATAATATGTATAATTCCTCTTGCAGAATATCTAATGTTATGTAAATGTTACATAATGTTAATGTTGTTAATCGTGGTCTTGTGATTCCCAGGGTAAAATAAAATGCTGGTTGCATACATGTAGGTTCTTGAGTTTGTGTTTGAGCAGACTGCCAGCAGCTGCACAGTCAGTAGTAACAGTTTGTTTGACTGATTTATGCAGTCAAAACAAAGTATTCAGATTGTGAGCTAAACTGAATAAAAATGCCACAATGCAAGCCTTTTGACCCAGCTAACCATCTTATCAGTCAAAGATAAGAAAAGTCCAATTGTGACCTTACAGAAGCAAATAATAAATCCTGCCTATCTTTATACTACCATCTTATCTTTATATGTTTAAGCACAAATCAGACTTTATGCTTTTATATCTGATGGCTGAAAGTCAAGGCAATATAATTACAGTTAAAAGTCAGTTTAATGTATATGCTACAATTATTTACTAGTGAAAGGCAAGGGAATTGTTTTATTGTCTTTCCAGGTGATAGAAGACTGTACAGTATCTTTGTTATACCACCAGTGAGATTAATATCTCCCTCTTACATTTTGTAATAGTTCTTGTTTGTTCTCATGGTAGGATTATCAGGTTTAGCTACAAGATGAAAGATTTATATTCAGTTTAACTGTATTTTACCTTGAAATTGTCCTCAGCATCAGTGGCAAAACCAAACATACTTTTTAATTATGGCATCAAAGATTGAATAGGCACATCTATTAAAAAAGATCTTGTGTGCTCTGTAACCTCTACTTACATGAAATAAAGTTATGTTTTTCTTAACAGTATATTATGTTAAGGGATGTTATAGATCCATTTAACCGCATAATGTTCCGGAGGTTATCTGTAATCACACATCTCCTCCCCACTGGATGTTTTTTGTGAATTTGCAACAAGATCTATATCTGTATCTTTCCTCCATTCAGCTTCTGATAACAAAGAATAATCATTACCTTCATCAGATCACATCCACGAGTCAGATGAATAGCAGTTTATTATATTAAGATACTAGAAACATACAGTGGAAGCACAGAACACATTTAGTTACACATAACTCCCCCTGTTGAATGAATAAACTCTAAAACACACGGTTGTCCAGTCACAAACTTGGTAGAGCTGAAAAGTAGAGCTTTTGGAGATTCATCCTTCTAAGGTATTTGGTTATGGACAGCCCAACCAAATTTAAAATTGGCACAGCAACTACTACTGCTGCTTTGTCTTATTTCTCACTTCTGTTCCAGTGTACCTAACTGCATAAAGCCTGAGACTATTTGTCATCTCTATACTGGCTCCAGACCTTAGAATCAACGCCCACATCTCCGATTTGTACAACAATTTAAAAAATGGCAGTTCGGTCTGATTATCAGACCTCTCAGGACGTTGACTGCATTTAACTGGGACTAAATACTGGAGGCTCCAATACACAGACCTGGAGCCAAAAACTGTACCACTAAGGCATTAGGTTATTCTTTATACAATAAAATAAAAACAAATACTACTGTATTGAATTATTAGACAATTTATAACAGTGGTGTGTCTGTCCAGTGAGCTTTATTAGCACATATTAATATATAGTGAACAGATTTGCTCGCTGGTCACATTGCAGCAGAATTAAGTATCATTTCACAATCATAGAGCTCTTCTCTGATGCAATGCACATAGGAAATGGATGAGATACTCACACCTGCAAAGAAAATACAATGAACACTTGGTGGTTTAGAGTTACAGCAAACACTCCTTGAGCAGCTACTTTATGAGAAATGTAACAGAAGAGCAACTGTCTGTTTCCAGCGCAGCCAATTAGTCATGTCATTTTAATAATTATTCTGTCAGTAGTAATTGGAAACACCATCTGATTGTATGGTGCACATGGCACAAGTAGTTTTACAAAGCAAAATGTAGGTAACACTGGATTACATGCTTAATTGTTTCCTGTGAGTCCTGTGTATGTTTAAAGGCTATTTGAATCCAGTGCAAGAATGGCGGCCCCTGCCACCAACATAGAAAGCCACTATAAACGTACGTAATTACAGAATGTTAATGCATTGAATGGTTAATGCTGAGAAATATACTGTAGTTTTGAGTAGAGTAATGCAAATTGATCTGCTAAAATGAAATATGTGGACATGCCCATCTTTTGCGTGGGTTGTGGGAGAATTTCAGCTGATGATGAACTAAAGTGTGTTGTGCTGAGCTGTGACTGACAACAGGCAGCTGGTTGGTTTCTCTTTACTTCTACCTCTCAGCTGTTCTCCTTTAGGGGATCACTGGTGATCAACCCATCTGTGATGAATCTTTAGTGCCCCTACTTAAGCATGAGTTGATCTATGATGAGATCCCTGTGGCTGGTTGGGAATCCATAATGTATCACATTCAGTGTGTTTTCTTTCTGTAACTGTCTTATACAAGAGCATAGGTATGTAATTCACATTAGCGTTTGTAGAAACGGTACACAATACTGCATGAGAGGATGTGGTACTAGGTAGTGCAGTGTTAAAGTGGTCTCATCTGGTATACACATACACTTTTTGCTGTTTTTGACATACGTACGTACTCCCACATTCCTGTGAGGTCAGGGCCAGATTGAGTCCAGATTTATTTGTTTAAGGTGACGCTGATGGGCGGGATGAGGGCCTGAGAGAAATGGTTCTCAGTGATGTCCTGCCAGCGCTGCTCCTCCACACAAAGGAGAAACACAAGCAGGACAGAGCCGAAGGCCAGGAAGTGAGCAGGAACTCAGCATCTCCCCCCACCTCGAAAGGGAGGTAGTAGAAAGTGAACCAGAGCTCTGGGAGGAAGGGGGTGAAAGTTCAGCAGAAACTCACACAGCTTGACAGACTCCCAAACATGTTTACATCCATTCTTTATCTCCTAGCAGCTTTATCTAGCTTGTTGAGCTTTGCATTCTTTTTTTTTTTAATTTTATTTTGTTTGCTTTATACTAGCAAACACACTGCAAGGAGGTTGTAGCAAAAAGAAAGGGAGGATGGATTTCACATTATAGGACATTTAATTGTTGAGTTTTTGCAAGACTCCTGTTTGGGGACCCTAGGTCTGAGCGCCAATGGGTAGAAATAAGGGTCCCCAACGTGAGACGTAACTTCCTTAGCAAGCGAATAGGCTACTACTTTTTTGGTTAATGTAACTCTTTCGCTCAGAATGAGAAGGTAACAGTTACATGTTATGTGTAAAAATCAGCTATAAGAAATGTTCTGGCATTACAGGGCACATAACTTTATCTTCAGTCTGTTATAAAGATGTTTGTAACTAACATTTGTAACAGCATTTTAACATTAGCAAGGTGTGGAAAAGTGAGGATCCAACTTAATGCGAAGATTGCACGTTCAACAGCTTGTCAATTAAGTAATTACAATGTTATGTTTTTATCGTGAGCAGGAAAGAGTTAAAATAAAATACTGGAAAATGTGATTTTCTATCTTATGGATCCATTTTGAAACAGTATGAGTTTAAGCACATGGAATTCACTGAAATCAAGCGCTTGGGTTATGTTTTTAGTTTTATTCCAGAGGATGTATTACCCCCTTAACGCAGATTGTCGCAAATTCACATCACACTGCTTCCATTCAAGACTGCTGCTGCTCGGATGTATTCCCCCAATGCTAGTTTATGCATATTCAATACGTACCTGGGAACCTTTTGCAAGTACGGATTTCTTGTTTTGCCTTTTTTCGCTAATTTGCATAATTATTACATCATAGGGGGGTGGTGATGGGGCAGTGGATAAGAAGCATGCCGTTGGTGTGAGAGACCCGGGTTCAACTCACCAATGTGACACGTCCGCCAACATGTCCCTGAGCAAGACACTTAACCTCTAGTTGCTCCAGAGTCGTGCGACCATAAATAGCAATTGTATGTCGCTTTGGATAAAAGCGTCAGCTAAATGAATGAAATGTAAATGTACCTGAATTTTTATCTATCCTTTGTTCTATAGACGATAACAATCTCCACTTAATTTGGCATCAGCTTGAAAGCAAATGAAAATTAAAATAATATATTTTCCTATATAATTGCTAATAAATTCAGGCTTCAAGGGGTTAAAATCTGGTTCACATTGTTTTGTAAGGCTAGCGTGAATGTCAGAGTTACAATTTGAAATATGGGAGTTTATTGTAGCTGAGGTTTGGTAAAAAGTTGGCACTTGGGAACTGGGTAAAATACATGAATTTAATATATTTGCTTATTGTAATTATCCCAAGAGGTTGGTTTTCCACACAATAATGCCATTCATTTGAAAATGAGAAAAAGGATCTTGAATGCCTTTTTTTGTTATTTCTTATTATCTACTTATGATGTTAGATATATGTTTAATCTTGTTGTTACTGTTTGTTTCCAAATAATTAAAAAGAGAGTACTAGTACAGACACTTCTACAGTAGTTCTTGAATTGGACTGTTCTGTCCTCCTGGGGGGAGAAAAAAAATCAAAATAACAGTTGGCAGATTGTTGTGTAGGCGGGTGGGATGTAAATCACAAAATGTCATAATATGAAAAAAGCAGATGCCTTTATTAGTGTTACCAACCATACACATAACCTGTGTTTACTTGAAGGTTGAATCCATCCAATAAAAACACATACAGCCTGTAGCCTCATGTGCTAAGGAATCCATGTCCTGACAGGCAATGGATTGGTTTTGGACAGATGTGTTAGTTGTGCTTCAGCTGTGATTTGATCTCTATCTTTCATCTCCCCTCAGGGTTGGAGCTGTGTGACCCTTCCCATCGTCTCATGGTTGCCATGGTCAGCGGCTTCTTCGGCGTGTTCGCAGAGCTGCTGTTGCCAGGCATCGCTGTTCTGTGCCGCGACTGGCCCGTACTACAGGCTGTGGCCACTTTGCCTCTGCTCCTGCTGCTCTCCTATTGGTGGTGAGTCAGGTGATAATATGTGGGGTGCATTGGAAGCGTTAAGGGCAGTTTATCATTTCACAGTGGGTGCTCATTATACCAGTCTCCAGTTTTGACAGTTTGATATGTTTGATCTTTTAGGAGTTGCTCTTGTGTAAAGCTCACACCTTCTAACAGCTTCACCTGAAATTACGTGTAGCCACATGTTAGAATAAATTAAATCCGCCACTCAGAGTTGGTTTAGTTGCTTGTTCAGGAAGTCTCTTTGAGACCGAGGTTGCTTTTACAAGAGAGACCTGAGGACAACTTACAAATATAAAACATCACAACAAGAAAATTCAGCCACACAAAGCATTTATCACACACACAACGTTCACAAGTATTACATATCAGCAAGTACAGCCATAAAAGTCCTCAGAATGAGTGTCTTTAACTTCAGTCTGCTTCCCTTAGTAAGGTGTCTTGAGTTTGTAAGAGGAACTTATCAAGCTTACAAATACTGTGCTCTGTAGTCATGGGTATTGGCTCTGAACTCAACTAAGGATGTAAAATATCCGGGCAACTTACAAGACTATGAATGAAACCACAGGTATGCCATGCCTTCTAAATGTCAGTGATAAAGCGATATGACAGTGACAACCTTTTATATATTCTTGTCTTCTCTTCCTTGTATCAGGAACAAAACACGCATTTTGTGCATGTCTTTATCTTTTCACCATCTGTGTTGATGATACAGAGAATGTTTGGGCTCTGTGTCTCTCTGAGGTATGATAACGCAGTTGGTTTTCCTCAGCTGTGCATCAGTGTTTCCTGAGTCCCCTCGCTGGCTGCTGGCCACAGCTCAGATCTCTCAGGTGAAGAGGAGCCTCCAGGAATTCTCCACCAGGAACGGTGTTTGTCTGCGAGAAGAAATCTACCCCGCTGAAACCCTGCTGTCAGGTATACACACACGCGCACTCACACAAAAGCTTGTGTATGCACACACTGACAAAAACTGGTTTCAAGGTGGGGGTTTTTTAATGGGAAAAGTTTAAAACAATTCTAAACTGTTCCAAAAAAAGACACAAGGCTCTCATCCTACATTTACAGTGAACTCAAAGCATGATGGGCCCTGTCATATTTTGGATTTGATCAACATGAAATCCCTGTTTTTCTTTTCTATCAAAATTCCATCCATCCTGTACTTTACATGTTGTTTTGTCAGAGTAACTTAAATACCCATATCCTTGCTATCATTAGACCACTTGTTAGTTTATTGTTCCCACATAAATCCACAAAGTCAAAAAACATAAAAGCAGAAAATCCTAACAAAAAAACTATGACCAATAAATTAGTGGCATTGTTGCTAGGAAAATTAAAAACTTAATCGATTTATCAAAATAGTTGCGGATTCATTTTCTGACTAATCAATTTATTGTTTCAGCTCTAATCTAAGTCGTTCTTGTTTGCTCGACAAGTTTCGCCCTGTGCAAACCACTGTCCTAGGTTGTGCCTTGACAAACCTCTAAACTTGACTGCTGTAATGATTTTCAAATTCATCTGTTGTGGAGATTATAACATTTCTTGCTCTGTTTTAAGTGAATGCAGAAATGACCTGAGCCTGAAATGACATTAGAGCATGTTAGTTCTGCTGAATGCATGTTTCTTTCAAGTTTAAGCAATTCCCAATTCTGTATTGTACAGTGATTCAAGAGAAAAGGTTGGGGTTGCATACATCTCATTTCTGTGTATATACTGCAGCGTAACCCTCTTTCTGTAAATTTTTTATTATTTATTATTGTACAGTACAGTTTCAATACATTTTTACGTTAACATGTCAGTGCTAGAAAACTTGACATGTAAGTAGTTTAAAGACTGAAAAAGATGTGTTTTGCTGTCCTCTCCCAACATCACTGATAAGTGTGGTTGGGCCTGGTCAGAAATGTGCTCTGTTGAACCTGTAACCACACCCAACAGTGATCATACTGTGTCCTGGAGTATACCTGCACAGCAAGGGGAAAAGTCAAACCACTCATGGTCATCAAAAACAAGATTTTCAGGGGGTGTTAAGTTACTCTTTAGGGGCTATGTGTAATTTTTCAATGAAATGACTTATTAATAAATCACTTTTACTTCCTTGTCAGCGGACTGTAACCTCACTTAGAAACGAACCACACGCCTGTTTTCTCTGTTACTGTTGAGAACACGTACAAGTACACACCTGGTTGCAATCTAAAAAACTGCACCTCTAGTGGCTGCTGAAAACTACATATTACACCTTAAAGAGATTGTAGGATGAGTTGAAAAGACATATTGCGTTAATGGGGCTATTACATGATGTCTCCTTTAATTTGGGCTTTTGGAGTTGTGATGTGTTGCTTGAGCTCATTGATTCATTACAATTGTAATATTGCAGCCATTAGTAGGATTTGTAACAAATTTGAACCCTTCATTAAACCCTGCTCAGTTATACATAGCCCAAAAACCTTTGCATCTTCAGGGATACGTTGAATTCTTTAGTTTTTCTGTTTACAGAGATAGATTCAGCATACGGAGAAGACTGGCAGCCAAGGTATTTGTCAGTTCTGGAGCTGCGTAGGACTCGTGTTATCTGGAAGAACTGCCTCATCCTCAGCTTCACGCTGTGAGTTTTTATTCTGTGTGAAAAGGGATGTCAATTGCACTTCATTGATTTAACCCCTGAAGTCTCTGTTTCATAATAAAAGTGACAAGCAGTGTGTTTTGGTATTATAGATGTGTATGGTCTTAACTCTCATGTCCCTCCTCCAGGTTCATTGGAACAGGCATCCAGTACTGTTTCACCAGAAACCTGCATAGTTATTCCACCAACTTCTACTTTAGCTACTTTCTCCGAGTGATAACTGGAGCATTGGCGTGCATCTTCATCTGCTTGACTGTCGATCACTTTGGTCGGCGTGGTATGCTTCTGCTCTCTGCCATCATCACTGGACTGTCATCGCTGCTGCTGCTGGCCCTCACTCAGTGTACGTTACATCCACGTATTTTGTTTACAATATTATTTTACTTTGATAACCTTTGGGCGTCAAACTTAATCCTCTATCAACCTCTGCCATTTTCTGTTATGGCTTCTGCCAATGATGAGCCATTTTTGTTGTTTTAACTACCTCCAAACAGTGGAAGTGGTTAAAAGAAATTACATCTTTATGTTAAGACTTCTTTTTGACAGGTGACATACATTTTCCATTGTCTAACATGTTAATTGGAAAGTGACAGTGAAAACCAGTACAGTAAGTTCATTGATTTAACTTGAACTAATGAGTGCGTTTCCAGATAGATAGATAGATATCTGATTATTTCAAAGTTAATTGGATCACTAATGTAATTGTGTTCCTTGAAGTGGAACCAGAAATGAGCGAAATGACGATGGAGAAGTTCCACAATCAACTCAACAACATATTTTGTAGTAGAAAGCAAAAAATAATTAGATAAAAACAGATTTTTTTGATTTCATACTCTGACAAATGTCTCACACCAGAAAATGTTGATTCTCTCTGCTGTAAATGGTACTGCGGTTAGATTAAGATTAAGAAGTTAGTCTGTTGTTCTTTTTATGTGTCAGACCTACATGGTGGCCTGGTGTTGGTACTCTCTGTCGTGGGTCTGCTGTTCTCTCAGGCTCTCGCCATGCTCAGCATGTTCTTTGCCTGTGAGGTGATGCCCACTGTGGTCCGGTAAGTGTCTGTCGTCTTGACGAAAGTGACGAGGCTGTCGATATATTTTTCTTGTTGTCAACAAATCCCATAAAGAGACCAAAAATGATATAGCATGTTTTGAATGTGTATTAATCCCCTTGTAAAAATAATCATGTTCACTACTGTTTGAGTAACATTTAATAAAATTTACAGTGCCTAGCCTTTAAAAATAAAACTATTTTCAAAGATTTATGTGTTCTGGAGGAACAAATAGGCTTGAGAGGGTAGGGAAATTGAAAAGTATAGAGATACAGAAAATGATTTTTGTTCTCTTTTTCCTGCCACTCTTTCCTCTCTCTATCAGAGGTGGTTGTCTTGGCCTGGTGCTGGCAACGGGTTGTGTTGGCATGGCCGCCTCCTCCCTAATGGAGCTACAGAATAACGGCGGCTACTTCCTCCACCATGTCATCTTCGCTTCCTTTGCCGTCCTTTCCGTTCTCTGCATAATGCTCCTACCTGAAAGCAAACGCAAGACACTCCCAGACTCCCTGAAGGAGGGCGAGAGCCAGCGCCGGCCTCCACTCTTCCTGGCACGGCCCAACAGGGACAGCCTGCCGTTACTGTGCACCCGGCCCCCTTTGTCGGAGTACAACCCTGATAACTATTCCCGCTTGGTCTCTGCCACCAGGAGGATGTTAATTACGGATAATTTGCCTTACAGGATCACTGCGCCAAGTCATGCCCCTCTGCTGTCGGACAGTCCAGCACAGGGACAAGAGAATGGGACACTGACAGAGGATATATCTTAACCTAACAGACCCTTCTCATCCCCATCCCCATCTCCATTATTATCTGAGTCACTGACAGGTCATAACTCAACTAAAGAACCGACTCGGTTTGGATGCAGTGCACTTTAGAGTGATGGCTCAAAATTTGTCAATTTCCAGCATTATATCAGTCTGTTCCTGTTTTTTACACTTGAAGCCGTTACTATGTGTGGTTGCTTTTTCTCATGGATTCAGGTGATGCACTGAAAAACAATGGCCATCTTTTGCTAAAGTGTTATCCAAACCTTTTTTTTTTTCTAAAATGGAGTGCAGTCAAGGTCATGCTGCTCCTCTGTGTGGACGCATTCAGTCCAAATTGTGATACACCAGTTTCACAAGAGGAGCTCACTCAACCGTGCAGCTGCTGTGGATCATGTGAGCAGCAGCCCTTTTGTCCATTTATTAGTAACCCATGTAATTTTCATTAGGTCTGTCGTCTGATTACCAGCAGTGCCTCAGAGCTGAGAAGAAGCACCAAGACACACAAGACTGGTTCAAACCATTGTTGTAAAGTCTTGTGTTAACTTGCAAAAGCACACATGAGGGCGCTAAATGATGCACGGTCATTGGATATCACTGGTAGTCCTCTAGCAAACTTGTTAATCCAAATATTTAACTTAAGTATTTGGCCAAATGATGGGCTGTGATATGAGTGGAAAAAATAATACCATATTACCAGCAAGAGGATAGTGAATCTGTCCAATCTATAAACCACTTTATAAGGTTACAAAATTATTTAAAAGGTGCTTTTTTCTTTTTTTTTTCTTCAATGAATTGCAAATGCCTGACCACTGTAGCTGGCAGACACAAGGTTAATCCCTACTCTGTCTTGTAGTGATTATGAATTGTGTCGTTGTTATATTAGTTAAAATTAATATCACTGGTTTCAATGCTTCAGAATTTAACAGGACAGGAAATGAAGAGCATTAGATATTTTTTGACTGCCTGATACAACAGAAATCTTCTTTTTCCTAATTAATTTTAAATGGTAAGGACAATTCTACTTGATAATGCTTTTAAATCTTGTGACACTGTTAAAGAAAGGATACTGAACTATTCAAGGCTGCTGTGTGTGTGTGTGTGTGTGTGTGTGTGTGTGTGTGTGTGTGTGTGTGTGTGTGTGTGTGTGTGTGTGTGTGTGTGTGTGTGTGTGTGTGCGCGTGGGTGTGTATACTAGGAGAAAAACACACCACTTGATCGGCCTTCAGGAGATTTCACTGTATAATAATAGTTTAATGTGCAGGCCGTCAATTTATAATTTTAATTCATTGAGCAAACCAAGGTGCTTTTGTATTGATTGAAGGTCCTGCAGTTGGTCAGAGAAACACGTTAACATTTGTTATGTTGGAACTCTGTTTCCATAGACTTTTTGTTTGCCTATGTGCTTGCGAAATGAAGCCTTAGGAACTAAGAAATATTAACTTGTTCTTTAACTTAACCATCAGGCAATCACTTCATCACAGAGCTAAATCAAAATCTAAAAATGGAGCACTTAATTTGCTAAATATATTAAATCTGCAATTCACCAAAATTGAAGTTAAGAAGCCACAAGGATGTTTTGCATCTGTTGGGCGTTACCCACTCAGAACACTAGATGGTGCGCTACTCTTGAAAATATGGATATGTACTGTTCTATGTCCTGCAAAAATGTCACTATATTGATGTTGAGGAAAATTTTTGTCTGCGCATTTAAATTATACTCATTTGACTCTGTTCATACATCATTATCACACACTTAACATTTGCCTACATCATCCTCTGTCAGTCTTATTGGTGGGATTAAACAGCCAAATGAGTTGAATAACTCAACTTGGTATGACATGATGATCATTGTGCTGCTGTCTTTGTCGTGTAACTGTAACGCTGTTGTAAGGTACTGTTTTCTGGTCATTTTTAGTAAAGTTAACCTGCAGACAATGAGCTGTAAAAACAAAAAAACAATAAACTGAAACTATTCAGTATTTCTGTCAATGCTTAGAGGAATTTGGAAAACATCCAGACAATTAAAACAGAGGGTTTCCCATTTTATTAGTATTCATGGACCAACTCTTGACGTACATACCAGCAGGTACAAAAAGCTATAAAGCTGTTAATGCTATAAGAGCCTGGAGAGCCAGAGTGAGCAGAAGGGCCAGTGCACTAAGTGAATGGACAGCTCCAGCGTTTCTGTAACCGTAGCTCATCCTACACGAGTTCTTCACCTCATCATATGGAATAAGAACATCATCTGGACTCACGCCTTTCAGACTGTCACGGACCTGACACAAAGAGAAGACTTGTCAGGCATCTGACAGAAATACAGGCTGACAGGTGTGTGCATTCAGTCACTGGATCCACCTGCTACCAAAGCACCATTATAAAAAGATACAATTTGACCGTGTTAACTTTTATGACTTATCAGTATTTAATCTCCATATCAGTACCTCTGCGTATTTGAATGCACCTCTGTATACAACAGTTTTTACTGCTTTTAACTGATCTGCTTTTGTCTTTTTGGTTTTACTTTACATTTCTGCAGCCACCACAGAAAGTACAAGAGTGAGTTATGCTATATTTCCAGGAAGAGTAGTGTGTCCTGCAACTAGTAAACTGATCTGGTTGTGTAAACTTCCCCTTAGAGGAAAAAGTCAAGAAATAAAGTCAATGGTGCTGCGCAAATATGCAATGCAAAGCAGCAGTCTGGTATTATCGCATGGTGCTTGAAGTGATAGCAGAAAGTGTTCCTCACCCCCTCAACCTCTTCTAGTACACGAAGCAGGTTGTTTCCCAGAGCAGCTTTGACCTCCTCATCAGTCCATCCTCTCCTCAGCAGTTCAGCCACAACTTTGGGCACCTTGGACACGTCCTCCAGACCCTCCGGTAGTCTGACAGGGAAATATGATTGTAATTCAGTTACCTTTAATCACTTTAGTAATTAATTGTCTTTTACTATTTCATCACAGCTTTCCAGTTGTTGTGGGCAGTTTCAAGTTAACATTTGAATGTTTTATACTCACCTATTAACCCCATCATAATCTCCCCCAAAGCCAATGATGCCCACCCCGGCCACTTTCTTTATATAGTCAAAATGATCTAGGATGAAAGTGGTTATTGTGAGAATAAAGTGGATGAACACTGAAAGAACAATAAATGTTCATAATTAACCAAGTTTACAGTAGGTGTCATAACAGCAGTTTACCAGCTACATCTGAGATGCTCGCCGTCTTGTCGCATTTCACATAGTCATTGTAGAAGTTCACCATGACGATTCCACCCGTTTCATTCTGGCGAGACAGACAGGGCAGGGAAACACTTACTGACCCAGAAACTCAGATCTATAGAATGGTACGAGACACTGCATCATTTCTGCTGGGTTAGTCTGGGAAAGAATTCTGACTCTCAGCAATCCAATACACCATGGTATTGACCTCTGCTTTCTTATCTCTTGTATTGCCTGTCTGCTGGTTATAACTGAGCTGCTTTATCTGTTTTTTATTTTACAATACTGCACAATAACCTCCATGTTTATAGTTTTATTGACTTAAACCGGGAACTGCCATTATGAAGGAATCATTTGAACTAGACACAATGTGTTGATTTACCGCTTTCAACCCTTTAGTGACAAGCCATTTACAGGCCTGTTCTGTTCTCTGGGAGCAGCAAAAGGCAGGATATGTTTTCAAAGGGCTTAACAGCTTCAATAGGCTGGCTGTTTATTGTCTTCTGATTTCTTCTTCTTTATATCCAAATCCCATCTAACATCAGTGGTGGAAAGTAGCTCAGTAACATTTAGTCAAGCACAAGTCAAGTTATTACCAGTAGCTGCTTTTCACATTAAACTTTGACATAAACAAATAAGCTTATAAAGTGCAATATATTGTTGTCAGTTAAACCAATTTTCCCCAACCTTTTTGGCCTGTGAACCCTTACACAAAAAGCTGTCTAGTTGGGGCCCCTTGTTAGAATTTCGGTGTCTGAGTTGTTGAAAAGAAACATGTCCCTTCTAAGCTTCTCGGATTGTTTCATTTTAATAATTGTTCAAGGCCCAAAAAGGGTTAAAAGATCTGATATTTCACAAAAAAGCAAAGATTGATATTTATCTTGTCACCCTGTGAGCAGGCCCTGAAGCCTAGGTTGGGAACCACTGGACTAAATTACCTAACTGCATAAAGTAGCTAAAACAAGCTTTCACCTCAGTCAGCTACAGTGAAATACTACTTACACATTACTGCCTCCGTATTAGCGTTCTAATAGTGTAATATATAATATATCACACACAGGGGCCATATTTCTGAATAATGAGAAAATACGTTTACTGGAGCAAAACTGAATGCAGGACTTTTACTTGTAAGGATGTTATTTTAATTGTCATACTGGTACTTTTACTTAAGTAAAGTATCTGAATGCTCTGACTAGTATACCTTTTTCCATACTCTTCAGCCTTGTTACTGCCTTGCTGCTTCTTTCACTTTCCCTCCACTTTCTGTATTCTTAGCCTTGAACCCCAACCACACACGCAGACACACACACACACACACTCACCACTCTCTGCAGGACTTCATCAGGGACATTCCTCTTGTGTGGACAGATGCCATAGGCGGAAGAGTGGCTGAAGATGACCGGAGCTTTAGACATGTTCAGCACTTGGTTCATCACTGTTACGGTCACATGAGCCAGGTCGATCAGCATCCCCAGACGGTTCATTTCCAAAATTAGTTGCTGTTGGAGGCAAGCACTGTGATTGTTATATGATCTATATATATATAAGTGGTGGACTCAGCATAAAAACACACATTAAATCTACTTTCATTCAATGTTGGAAGACAATAAAACATGAGACCTGAATACTTTTTATAGACACTCTATCTAGTAGGATGATAAATGCAGCATAAAATACAAATATTACTTTGTATGTATTTTTACATATACCTAGGTACATGTATCTATATTGGATCGGTAATTCTTTTTATATGTATTTATTCTTATGCTACGACACACTTTTACTAGAAAAATTGTGACAGAACAGATATTTTGGGTTTTATACAACTTGGAAGTAATGTTTGGTCACATCTGTAATAAACTGAAGTTGAATAAACTCCATTGGGAGTAAACCAACATTAAAGTATCAATCTGTAACTTATTACACTTTAAAAGTATAATTTGCCCATCCCTGCTTGTAAACTGACCTTTCCAAACGGAGATAGGCCATTGTGTTGAGATGGCTCTGATCCAGTGTCCACAAGCCAGTTATCTGCCCTGACAAGTGGGGAAAAAACCAAATGATTAAATTAGATTTGATTTGTAGGTTTTACCGAAGAATAATCAGTGATGTTGTCTCTAACCAGGAAACTACATTTAAGTAGTAGACTTTATTCCCAAGTAAATTTGGAGTTTCAAAGACCACATACTGTGTTTGCATTGGGTAAGTTACAAGTACATAAACTCATACAGACCAAAGTAGTTAACAATAGGCAGGTGAAAAAAATATACACAGATACAGTTTAGGAGGTGTGAGTGAGACATGCTTTCATTTGCTTAAGTATAGTTCACAGCCACCTATAGTTACAATTAATTTAGCCAGTTAAAGCAAATAAAAGCAGAGAATCTGATACTTCTGCATGGTGCACACAGCAGGCCTGCAGGAATCCCCCGTACTCCCCACAACACTATCTGATATCTAACCGACCATGACGTCTGATTGGAACACACCACACAGATTAGAAACTGAGTAGTAGTAGACTTGATCAGAGCTGAAATTATTTGTATATAAGTTTAGTAAGTTCAACAGAAAATTTTAACTATTTTGACACCTGATTAATCGTCTTGATTCATTCATTCACTTTTCATACAAAAGTACAAAACATTTAATAGTTCCAGCTTCTCAAAAGTCAGGATTTGCAGCCTTTTCTTTTTTTTTTCTTGTCTTAAGTATCAGTAAACTGAATAATTTGGAGGTAATGAAATAATGAAAATAATCATTAGTTGCAGCCCTATATAAAATAGTTTAAAATTAGCTCTACCTCAATCAACTACCACAATGAGATGCTGCTTTACACACACACACACACAATAAAACACATTAATGCATGAATAATAATAACCTAATGATATATATCGATCACAGACATTTTCCTGCACTGGATACTTTTACTTTTGAAACTTGAAGTATATCTTCCTTATAATAATACTCACAGACATTTACTTAAAGGTTCAGTGTGTAAGTTTTAGTGGCATCTAGTGGTGAGGATTGCAAATTGCAACCAGTGGCTCACAGTGCATTCACGTGCTCCTTGGATGGTCCCATTTCCCGAGTTGTGAATTCGTTCTTCTGACTTCAGTGTGTGTTCATGTGAAGTCAGAATCTGGAATCAACATGGACGCTACTACAAAGATGTGTTGGATTGGCATTATCAGAGCATATAAACAACACGCAGACATCTAGTTCACTCTACATGGACAGCAAACTAACCGTTACAACTATATTACAAAATATGTATATGCAACACGTGATTTTGCACAAATCAAAGTTCTGTATAGTTCTTCATGTCCCATGTACACTTTATTTCTCTTTTTGCAGTAAAGTTTTAAGGAGGGAGAAAAGATTCTGATAATTCAGACACTACATGAATGCACCTCCCCCCTCCCTTTCCAAGAATGCAGGAGAAGCTACAGTGTCCCACATGCTATTTCAGCTCTTGTGCTAAATAATACTTGTGGGCCTCCATTTGTCCAAATTTCTCTTCTTTTCTCACTTCTAACAAACCAGTCGACTACTGCTACTACTACTACTAAAGTTATTTATTCTTCTTCCTCTTCTTCTTCGTACGTATTCAACGTAGTGACGAAACGCACTCTGAAGAGCCATTTGGGCTACTGTAGAAACATGGCAGTGCAACATGGCGACATCCATGTAATAGGACCCACGGTATATGTAGACAGAAATGGCTCATTCTAAGGTAATAAACAGTTCATCATGTAAGGTCTTTTATACCACTAAAACAAAGTTATGGATTTAATGTTTTAACGATTTCTCTCAATGGATTCCCCTAAATATTACACACTGAACCTTTAAGTAACATTTTTTTATGTAGGACTTTAACTTATATTGGAGTATTTTTACAGTGTGGGATCTGGATACTTCCTCTACAGCTGGCTCAGGGACAAATACCCTCCTATGAGCACACACCGAACACGCACTTTGTGATTCTTGTATGAGGGTCACCTGTATTTTTCTCTCTGTGTTTGTGGGCTCTTACCAGGGTGTGTTGCAGGAGTGTGTGAGTGTGAGGTAGCGGACCCCGAGCAGGTACATAGTGCGCAGGGTGCCCAGACTGCTGTCGATGGAGTGACCTCCCTCCACCCCAATCAAACTGGCTGTCTTGTTCATTCTGAAGGCCGCCACAATGTCTGTGCAGACATGAGAGATGATGTGTGATTCAGCCAGGAAGCAGAGACAAACAAAATATAAGTGGCACTATTTTTTTTAATGTCTCTGATATTACTAGCACAGGTAAACGTCTCACCTTGCCTACTGGTGGCAAACATGAAGATTTCTGGGTATTTTTGACACATCCTGTGAATCACATCTATCTGCTCCAGTGTTTGTCTGACAGCATCTTTGTACTGAGTGTCACAGGGAACATAGGCTGACCAGAACTGAAAGAGAAACAAAAAATAATGTATGAATTATCAGCAGGGAAGGTTTAGGAAGTTGCTACGCTCCCCGTCACTTTTTTGTGTGTGTGCTTTGCTTACATAACCTAATTTTTTACAAGAGATACCTGGGGAATGGCTGCATTACAAAAGGTAAAATGGAAATACACACAGTAAACAGTTCTTTTTCCCTTTTATTAAATATTTATAATTGTATTGTACTTGTATACTGCGTAGAACTGATTTGAATCATTTTATATGAAGTCAAATGTAAGGTTAAATGAAGCCAGCAGTTGCTGTGGCCAGTTGTGACTGAATGAATCTACCAAACAGAAACATAAATGTATTGAAATAAAGCTGAAATTGACGTAACTGTGAACACTGTTTTTTATTTGTGTACACCAGTTCAAGCTCCCATAGTGATGTCAGTGTCTAATCTCTGTCCTCTAAGAGCAAGACAAAACAAGTTTATTCTCACATGACCATAAGGCCAACATTAACCTTTAGCTGTATATGTAAAATATTTATCTACAAAGAACCTAAGGAGTACAGAATAATATTTTGTGTGTGAAGTAGTGAAGAATAAAGTAGCATAAAATGGATCTACTCAGGTAAAATACAAATACCTCAGAAATGTGAATGTGTTTAGTTACCACTGTCAGCTGCATGAGGAAAGCCTCTTAAATTGAAGATAAAAAATTTGAATTTTGTTGTCCACGCTTGGGGCTGGGAGGTCAGTGAATGTGTGATTTAAAATGAGGTTGACTGTATACATAAATTAGTACAAATCAATCTTTGAATGACTAAAAGTTTAATCCAATTTGAGTAATAACACGGAGAATAAACAGATACTAATGAAAATAACTTTGGTACAACTTTTTTTTCTCAGCTCTGTGGCTTAAATTTCAAGCAATCAGTGTCATCCCATGATGTTTCATTAATAGTGAAAATAAGGATGTTGTTACTTAAAAGTCACGATTGCTCATGATTTACACCTCTCAATGATATGACACAATTTATTAATTTCAATATTATCTATGTTAAAAATTTGTAAAATGGCATCTGTGAAGCACATTTGAAAATTGGACTTAAAATCATAGTTTCCTTTAATTTCCCACTTCCCAGGACATTCTGATATACCTGCGCTCCCAGCCGTCCCTCCTTGATCTTAGGATGTTGGTTTGTGTTGTTTCGAGTTTGTAAAGATCCACTTTGTTGAGCTCATTGTTGAATTTCTTTAGAAGTTGCCAAGGCAGGTCATTATGGCTGAAATCAGAAAGTAGAGTTTGCCCATATTTGTCATTAACTGTGATTTGACAGCAGAAAGGACAACTGCTTCTTTTGCTTGAGTGGCACTACAGCAAGTCCCACACACTGTCTAACTAGCAAAAATGTTTCAGTGCTCGACCTTCATCAGGAAAATGGTGTTACATAGGGAGAGTTAGACAGTGTGCGGGACTTTTCTTTGCAACTTTTGACCCACCTCTGATGCAGAGTCTCTCGTTACAGGGGTGCTGAGTGATTAACTGCTTCATTGGCACTAGAAATTACTTCTAGAAGTGAGCTTTAAGTATGAGAGTAGAATGTAAAATGTCTGCTGTTGTTGCTCATATAGCAAACAGCAGACAACAACATAACCATCATGTAAAGCCCATTACACTTAAAAGACATTTCACTTACCCATCAATGAGCGGGGTCTCAGACATCAGCTTCAGAGCTCTGGTCATGTACGGGTCCTCAGCCGACATAACGGCACAAGAGCTGACCCACAGCGCCAAATATAGGGCTGAGATAACCTTGGACAGCATTTCTTCAACTACAACTCACTATTAAATGCACTGTTCCTCTTTTATTTGCGTCCCTGATTGTTCTTCTCGTTCTATAAGTAATCCTGATTCTACCAACCAGCTGCTGAAAAGTTGTCTTTCTGGTTTGCCAATTGCCAATCTTTTAGGGTTTTTTTGTTGGTATCTATGCAGGTTCGTTCAGATTCCCACTCCAGTCTGTTTCAGCTCGATTATGCCTTTGAATATCATCTCGCTCCTCCTCTCTCCTGTGTCTGTTTCTAATAACAGTATGTCATAAAACAGCACAGAAGCTTAAAGATTCCCACTATCCCTATAGTTGTTAGCTAGCACACGTTGGTTAATGAATAATCTACTTCTAAAGTGAACAATACATGCTTTGTACGGAAATATCTCTCCGTTTGTGATATGTCATGTGTCTTTCCTGTGACCTTCAAAAGTTCAGAAAATATCTATAAAAAAAATCCACAAGTGCTAAGCAGAACCAGCACAGTACTTTAACCAGCTTCACTATCAGGAAAAATACAAAGTTAGACTTTTATATGAAGAAGAGATTTATAAGATAACTCTCATATGAACTGAAACATAATTCATGGTCTAACAATTTGCTGGACAGTTTTGGAGAACCAAATCAAGCTATGAATTAAATCATATCAGACTTTAAAACTGACAAAACTCCAGTCTCTTAGCAACATGAAATTACCTCTATATATTTATAAGAGTCTGTGTACTTACAAACAAATACATTATCATACCAATAAGTGGGCAGTTGACCTTAAACTTGCACTAATCAATGTATTTAGATCAATAATAGATCAAACGACTGATGTATAATGTGAAAGGTGTCACTAAAAGTGATGAACTCACAGAGAATTATCACCCAGCTCTGCAGCTCCCTTACACTCTATCGAGTACTTTTTAGCATATTTCAGGGGATTGTTAAGATTTTTGGTGATCAACTTGGTTCACTCTCACTGCTCTCACCGACCTTGTTTCCAACTGCATCAGGCAGCTGTTTTTGGAAATAAAGCCCTAATAATCAACAACAAACACACATTTTAAAAGCAGTAGCGTATGTTTAAAAAAAGGAATTTCATGTGCTGTTCCAGTGTTTTGATGTTCTGTACTGCTGTAAGAACCCTCTGCACATGTTTGCCTCTCGGGACTACTTACCAATCAGCAGGTCGCAGGAACTTAGAAAGCCTGCTAGGTTTATAGTTAGATATAGAGTCCACTATTATTACTTTATCACAAGAGATAGAGGTTTATGTCCTGAGTGTGCCTCCTATTACATCAGCTCCGGACCACTTTCTGATTAAATCTGAAGTAACACTAGCCTGTTCTTGTATTGCTGCTGCTGGTGTATTCACCACTTGCTGCATCTGTCCTTCAACTTTAGCTGCATTTGGTGAGTGACTAATTAGCTCCCCCTTACCAGCTGCAGCATTAATGGCTCTCATATTGTCAGGATTGTGATGGTTGAGAAGGGTAAGCAGGGTGGTGGACCCAAATGCAGGACGCAGAGCAGAGGAGGTACAGTTCAAAAAGGGGTTTATTCCATAAACAAACAAAAGGCGAGCACACTTCCTGGCAGAGTGGCTGAGACTAATCCAAAAATGAACATAGAAAACCAACAGAAAATCCAGAACGAGTGTAATCCAAAATACCAGGAACTTAAAGGGAACAGGCAGGTAACATGACAAGACAGCGCAAACTACAACCATGACAATGAGGGACAGAGCGTATACACACGACTGAGGGAAACAAGCAAGGATATATACACACAGGGTTAACAAGCTGGGAGGAAGTACACAGGTGAGGGACATGAAACTAACGAGACACAGGCAGGCAGAGAGAGAGCAGGGGAAAACAGAGAGATTGACATGCAGAGGGATTACTGCGATAACAGACACAACACAGGTTACTGAACACTAAACACTAAGACATGAACCGAGACACAGAACGAGGAGCTAAGACACAGAGCTAATCCTAAAATACAACACACATACTAAGTAAACTTAAAGATGTGGATGAATAAAATAATAAACAAGGCTACACAGAGACTAAAGCAGAAAGATCAAAATCATAATGAACTAAACAGATCATAACCCCACAACCAGACACACAGACACAAAAACCAGCACAAACACACAGAGTAAACTAGACACAAGAAATGACTGAAACTCAAAACACAGACTAACTATATAACAGATACTGGACACAGGGCAATAGACAGGACAGAACCCTAAACCCAACATACTATAAGACAGATACTAAAAAAAACTATAAATAACATGACTGACAAAAAAACTAAAAAGAACAAAGCAGAACGGACACGCCAACAGTGTGACACATATTAATGCATCACTAATTAAAGTTTGATTTAACATTATTCTGAAATTGGCCATTGGGCATAATGAGTATTTTAACCTTTGGTACTTTAGATATATTTTGATGCAAATACTTTTGTTCTTTTACTTAGGTATAAATCTGAATGCAGGACTTTTACTTGTACAGAGTATTTCTACACTGCTATATTACTTCTACTTAAGTAAAAGATCATTACTTTTTCCACCATTACAGTTTTTCTCACTCGCTTTGGTACATTTCTTGAATCATCTCTAACATTTACAAAACAGTAAGTGCATTTCTCAAAACATATCGAACAAACAGCACAACACAGTGGATTACCTGCAAAAGCCTGTAAATCCTTAGTCTATCTCTCAAAAGCAAATCTTTATGTCATTGAGCATGTCAGTGCCATCAGAATGACAAGTCCTTGTGTCTTGTTTATGAACAAGATAGTCAGAATGTTTAGTCATGTTGTCAATGTTGTCTGATATAACTACAGCTAAGGTGTTAATGATGTGTAAATGCACAAGGCTGCACTTTTTCTGTATGGCATGTTACTATAATTTCAACAGTACAAAGTAAGACATTGCAAGAGACTGCACAGGATTTACAGTTAAGCTTTTACTGATTGTATTGTAATTTACAGTTTTGACAAAGCATGTCATTGTTTTACAAAAACTAAAAGTACAGAAAAGAAAGACAACAGCACTGCATAGCACAACAGAAAATCTAAATTACAAAATTAGAATTGTAAACATGGAAATCGCCCCTTAGGCAGAACTGTAAAGGCAACACCGTTTGTGGTATTACAGTGCAGTCTTTCTACACCTCCTGACGGTCCTGTCTGTTGGGCCACAGATTCTCGTCTACGTCACAACGGATATCTTCTCTTGCAACACAGCGTGGAAAGAATCTTTTCAAATGTCTTATCCAACCTCTGCAGGCGTCTGCTGTGATGTCCTCACATGCTGCATCCATTGCAGCCAGCTGGGTCATCTGAGTCTGTGGCTGGTGACCGTAAACTTTCCACCTCCATGCTGAGTAGAACTCCTCAACTGGGTTAAGGAATGAGCAATAAGGTGGTAGGAATTCCATCAGCATCCTGTAGTGGACTGCAAACCATTGCCTGATGGTGTTTGAGTGATGGAAACTCACATTATCCCAATCTACCACATACTTTGGTAAATCTTCCTGAATCAGACCTCTCTCATCATCAGGGATAATATCTCTGTATAGGGCGTCTAAGAAGGTGAGGAGATGCTGTGTGTTGTATGGCCCTGTAATGGGAAGATGAGTTAGCACACCATGCTCTGAAATAGCAGCATACATAGTGATGTTCCCTCCCCGCTGGCCTGGCACATCTACAGTAGCTCTTTGGCCAATGACATTTTGACCACGTCTTCTGCCTTTGGCCAGGTTGAAGCCAGCCTCATCCAGGTATATGAGGTTGACAGGTGGTTCACTTGATTCCAGTTCCATAAATGTACTAAAGCAAGTGACAAAAACTGTAAAAAAACAAAACAAAAAAAAAACAATGAAAAAGACCAAGAGCCATTAATAGAGACAAGCAGTCCATGACTGTAGATGTAAACAGTTGTTAATGTAAACACCTACAGACTAAGAAAGTGGCAGCTATAAAAGTTGAGACATTTGAATGAAACGATAATTACATTACAGTTTTTCTCACTCGCTTTAGTACATTTCTCAGATCAGAATTTAAATTCTCAAAACTACTTGCTCAACCTCCACATCATCTCGTCACTTGTGCACATCATAAAAGCAATTTCTCATTGTTTTGACCATATTGCAAATGCTTTGACATATTGAAGCAAATGAATATGTACAATTGTCTGCTGTCATGCTGATCATAATGAATTATATCGGTACTCTCCCTTTTATAGTCTTAACCCCCAAAACATCTAGTTCACAAGTTCATTGCACAAGTCACTACATGCAAAATGCCTGAACACATTGTCGAAATTAAAGTTAAATAAAGTCAAACTTTATTTTCATTCTTCACATTCAAGTATACAGCTGAATTAAATGTACAAACCATGGTGCATAAACAAAATAAGAATAGACAACAACAAATCACAACATACTACAGTAGCAACACAGCCCTCAGACCATTCCACACAATTCCATACACAGTGAACAGTAACAATACACAGTGAGCAGTGAATAGTGCAATACAGATAATATACGCCAGTAGATGTATATTCTTCTATATATGTGTGTGTGTGTGTGTGTGTATATATATATATATATATATATCCATCCATCATCAACCGCTTATCCTGCATACAGGGTTGCGGGGGCTGGAGCCAATCCAAGCTGACATCGAGCGAAAGGCGGGGTACACCCTGGACAGGTCGCCAGTCCATCGCAGGGCCAATATATATATAGAAAGAGAGAGAGAGAGAGAGAAAGAGAGAGATAGATAGATAGTCTATATCTATATATCTATTCTGTATGACAATGACAGGCTCTGTCAACAAATTACAGTACGAACAGTAAAAACGTGACTGTGAATCCTGTCCAATCTCTTGCAATGTATAACTTTATACTGTGTAAATTGCAGCCTTGTGCATTTTCAGTCATTGTCATCAAAATGTTAGCCATAGTTTACATCAGAAAACACTTACAGAGTACTCTGTTATATTGATAACATGACTGAAAATTTTGATTTGATTATCTTGTTCGTAAACAGTGACACAAGGACTTGTTATTCTGATGGCACTGACATTTTCACTGACATAAAGATTTGCTTTTGAGAGATAGACTAAGGATTTTGAGCAAGTTACAAAGTCAGTCTACTGTACATTCACCTAAACACTGGCACTTGGTGACTAAAGGTTAAAGCTGATAAAAAAAAACAAAAAACTAATTGAGTTCACTCTTACAGACAGTTGACTTCCTCACAGAAACCGCCATATGTGTTGATAACAATCAACAATCAATCATCAAAAGTTCCGTTGCTTGGAAAGCAAAGCTGCAAAGCTGGCCAAAACTTAAAAGCAAGCACTGATGCCTTTTGTGAGTGTGGATCTTTGTGTAATGTTACCAGCCTAGATACATCTTTTGCAGTTTTCCTTTTGTTTTCTCCTTTATTACGGCTTTTTTAACAACAGACAGATCAATGTACATGCATAAATCTTCAGTTCTTTACTGTTTTGCTCATTACCTCACACCCGTTCAAGGCGGATCCATTTGCACTTCCTCATTTTAGTTCATCACTTGGTCTCACTCACAGAGGCAGATGTACAGAGAGACAGAGTAGAGAGACAGATAGGCATCGGCAGAGCCACAAAAAGGTCAATATAAAAAGAAAACTAGTCAAGAAAGCAGCTACAAAAAAGAGACAGTACATACATTAATGTCGGATATGGCCAGGTTGGATGTCATGGAAGTGTTTCATGGTATTTCTTTTCCTGGACACCTGCACACCCAGGATTCCTTACAACTTGCTCTTAAATTTCCATTTAAGGACACAGACATCCTCGTTGTCTCCTATCCAAAGTCAGGTAAGAAACAACAAACTAATCAGGATACATGGCCCCTGCAGTGTCTTCAAGGGTAATGCAACTAACCACATAAGCATGTTGAGTAACTCATTGCAGACATGATGCTGAAATCTATTTAAGAATGTCATACATGACTCAATACGTTTCAGTCCAGGTTTTTGAACTTTTTTGCTGTTTAAAAATATGGATTTAATTCAAGTCAAGTCACAGATCCTTCTCTCTTTTCTCTCAATAGGCACCACATGGTTGCAGGAAATTGTGACTCTCATATCCAGCAGAGGGGACCCACACCTGTCCCAAACTGTTCCAAACTGGACTCGGGCTCCCTGGCTGGAGCATTATTACTTTGCTTCGATACTGGAGGCCTCATCAATAACACCTCGAGTCATCACCACGCACCTACCTTATCACCTTTTGGGCCCTGCCCTCCAGGGCTCCAAAGCCAAGGTCAATTTACCTGTTTATATATCCATTTGGACTGTAGTGTATTGCAGATGTATCACTGTAAGTGTATATGTCAGCCAAAATGCCAAACTAGGTATGTGGTAATTTAGACACAGAGTGATTAGAGCAAAGACATGTTGATTTTTCAACTGTAAAATGTGCTCCGTATGTGTGTTGGTTAAAGTTTTTCTAAAAAAACAAATCTAAGGGATGCGGTTAAAGATTAATTGTTTGTGTTATGTTTTTCATCAGTATGTGACCCAAAAATAGTTTGAGCTTTAATAAGCACAAATAGCACAAATATTCTGACACTGTTGCAGTGTGTCGGCTAACAGGTAATCTATGTGAGCAGAAACCCTAAAGATGTGGTGGTGTCCTTTTACCACTTCCACAAAATGGCCAACTTCTTCCCTGAGGCTGGATCATTCCCAGAGTTTTTAAATCGATTCCTGGAGGGAACACGTGAGTTGACATCAGGACAAAAGATTATTTTACTCTTTGTGAGGTTATACTTACTTCAGCTCTGAAGCCAAAAGTATAATTTGATCAATGTACAGTATTTTTTTTTCTCGTACTTCATGTTTCAGTGCCCTATGGCTCCTGGTTTGACCATGTTATCGGCTGGACCAGTCAGACAGCAACAATAAACAATCTGCTTTACATCACCTATGAAGAGATGTCGCTGGTAAAGGAGAACTGATTCATCATTCTCACCACACTAAATGTCCTTAAATGTATATTTTGCAAGACAAGAAAGAGTACAATTTCTTGTAAGATATTTTTTTGTCTTGTTCAAAAATCGCAAGCGATAGTTTGAAAGCAGAAGTTCATGGTAAAAATGCTAAAATTCAAGCACCAGAGAATATGATTATTTATTTATTTTTGTTAACATGGTTATTTAGCATTTTAAGGAGGCCTGAGTCTGATTCCTTTGTTAAATGATTTTAATCCTATCATTGTCTTCTTTGGGTTGTCAGGATCTACATGGTGCCATAAAGCGGGTTAGCTCTTTTCTACAGTGTCCCCTGGTGGAGGATGAGCTCAACAACTGTGTGAAACACAGCAGCTTCAGCAGCATGAAAGAAAACAAGATGATCAACTACACCCTGGTCCCTGAAGAGATAATGGACCACAGCAAGGGCTCCTTCATGAGAACAGGTAGGACTCGTTTGATTGATCCGAATAGTTGTCACGAAAATTGGAACCTGCTATCAATCCAAAAATGACTCTTTTACTGCAGTGGTTCCCAACCTGGGGGTCGGGACCTCCTAAGGGGTCCCAAGATGAATCTGAGGAGTCACAAGAGAATTAAAGAGATTTTCTCTCATCTCTTTAGACCTCTACAAATCCTTCAATGAAACAATCAGAGACAGAAAAATCTCTTTGGTTTTGACAAACTGCTCACACTGACCTGTGAGGAGGGGTCAAAAACACACATTGATTCATTTGAAGGTGTCATGAATCACAAAAAGTTTCTGATCCTTTCAGAAGCATTAACAAATAAAAGGAACAGTTTGACAATTTGGGAAATGTGCTTTTCCCCTTTATTTAATATCATGTTCATCAGTTGAGAAAAACAAAACTGCTTTGTGCTTCAGTTATATGTGTAAATGTAGTTCGTACCTGTAGTTTATGTGGTTTTAAAAATCCTTCGTTTGGCCTGTAAATGTTATCCTTTTTGCTTCACTGCCTGTTCCCTTTCCACAATTTAGGTAAGATTGGAGATTGGAAAAACATGTTCACAGAGGAGCAGAATCAATATTTCAAAAGAGTCTTCAAGTCCAAAATGCAGGACTGCACTTTGGAGTTTGTGTGGGAGAAGCATAACAAAGAGGAGCCACATGCTAATGAACAATTTCCACAGAAAAACACACAGAACTGTGAAAAAAGCTAAATGAAATTAGAATGCACCATGTAATTTTAATGACATTGTATTTTATCTACATGTAGATCTATGTACATGTATGATTTTAACTACATTTATGTAGATTTTATTGACCTGTATGACAGCACACTTTGTTGCCTCTTATGTATATTGCTGTCTCACTTTCATCAGTGTGCCTGTGCATGATGTGATCCTTGTGATGATTTATTCAATGTTTTGATGCATTAATTGAATTAAATGAATCTCAGATCGACCGAATCCTCTTATGGTTGCAAAATGATTTTTTGATCATCAAAATGATTTTTTTGGCAGAGAACAAGTGGCACTTTAATTTGCTAACACGCAATATAAGCATTGAAATGAAAAGTTGCAAGCAGCACAGGGAAAGGACAGATGAGGTCCAGAGGGATGAGCCACCCTTGTGTGTCCTGTCACTTCACACAACCAAAGAAAGGTGTTGTTCGCCCTCCAGTTTCCATGCACTGGAGTGCTTTGATCAAATTCTATTGCGCACGTGTGCGTGTGTGTGTATGTGTGTGTGTGTGTGTGTATATAAGACTGAACATATGGTACAGAGTTTACAGAACACACTGTGACTGCAAAGATGAACTCTGATAACTGATGGAAAGCCACCAATCTGGTAAAGACTGATATAAGCTTTGATCCACAGAGACTAACATCTGATTGATGGGAGGCATTCATGGTTATGCTGTATGATGTGACTTAAGACGGTTTGTAGAATGGCAATTGCTGCTGAAGCCACCAAACTGGTGTTCTTTTTGCAGTGTTGTTTGACTTTGATCTGGATTTTAAATCACTTTATAGGTTTGAGGCAAATTAGTGTTTTCCTCCATCCTTTGCTTCTAACCTATGTTACAGAGTGTAGTTACAGTGAGATTTTGTCATTAGGGAAATATGCTTTGGAAATTTGCTTTCTTGCCAAGAGTTAGATAACAAGATTGATACCACTCTCCTGTCTGTTTAAATATGAAGCTACAGCGAGGAGATGGTTAGCTTAGCGTAGCATGAAGAGAGGGGGAAACAGCTAGCCTGACTCAGTGCAACTGTCCTTATTCCTATAAACTCTAAAAGTTTTCAGGACAAACAAAAATAACAACATACTGTTAATTCTGAAAGCATGTTATCCACAAACTTAATAAACTTAAGAAATAATAAGATAAGATATTTATAAAACTATTGAATAGAAATGGGAATAGAAACGTGACTTAATGAAAAAGAAAACATGTTCAGAAAAGAGATCGCATAATTTCCTTTAGTCGGAAGTCTTCACGTCACAGGAAGCTGAGGCGACCACAGCGTTGCAGATATGACCAAAGTCAGATCCATTCTTTTAAAAATATTTTCTAGCCAAGCAGAAACCTTTGGTTTCATTTGTTCAGGCTTTCAGATGTGTCTGTGTCTGTTTGTCTCTGAGGTTTCTGCTACCACAGTGTTCGGTGGCTTATCCAGCGTAACTAGTTAAAGTTTCTAGAAAGTGATGTTGCTGTTGACTTTTAAATGTCAGATTTCAATGCTGTGAGCATCACAAATGAAATTCCGTACACCTCCTCTGCATTGGAGTGGTGGCAGAAAAAAAATCTCAGAGATGGATATAAAAAACCCTGGACAAATAAACCAAAACTGTGTGAGGTTTAACATCAGAGGTAAATCAGAAAATGAAGAAAGAATGTTTTCTCCTTGTAGTTAAGTTTTTTTTGTACACAACAAAAGTCTAATGTTGATGCCTGACTGGTAGGAAAAACTATTCCATTAATCTAACACGAAATGTTAAGGTTGTTTTTAAGTGCAAACTTCAGACTTTTTAGATTATTTTTAGGTTAAAATTTCATAAATTTTTATCTCCTCACATGGGGGATGATTCAGCTGCAGCTGTGCAGATGATGATAATGAAGCAGCACTTCTTGTCTGTGTAGCTGTTAGACTCCTGTGCCACAAACATGTGCTCCTGATACCCACAGTGCCTTACATGAACAGCCATTCAACTTATTTTCGATTTAACGATTGTGCGCCTGGGTGTAGTCTGTGTTTCTGTGCAACATTCTGTGTGACAGCCTGTGTATTTGCTCATGTGTTTGTGTATTGATCTGTGTACTTTGCATGTGTGTACATTTGAATAGGGAAGTCATCCGGCCTAATTTGAAAGAAACGACATTCAAACTCAAGCTCACGCAACCTTGAAGATTATTGTCTCTTGTCTTTTCAAAACATTGTATGAAAGCCTGTTTCATGAAAGAATCATCATTCCTGCCTGTAGATTTTGTTAGAGGCCGACTGGATGGCGTACCTCTCTGTAAAGTGGATTCAGCTGTTCAGAAAGCCTGCTGGTTTTTAGTGAAACCAATGTGAGGAACATATTTTTTTCTATTTTCAACCATGCAGTTCCCTCTTTTCATAAAAATGGTTTGTCTCTTTCTGTCGCCGATCTGTGTTTTTTTTTAAATGTGTAGTGAGTAATCAAGTTGACAAGGGCTCGAATGTGCTGTTGTATCAGCTGCTAATACAGTCCATGCATGTCACATGCACATGCACACACACACACACACACACACACACACGTGCAGCATTCAATTCTTTATTGTGCTCACACTTTTCAGCCACGTGAGAAGCCTCTTCACACTTCTCTATATATACAGCTTCAGACTCTGCTGAGGGGAAGGAGGTTGAAGGGTAAACCTGGTGTCAGTGTTAATTGCCTCACGAGGGTTCAAAAGAAGAACACAGAATCGGTTCACATTTATTTATTTAAAAAATAAAATTAGCCGACACATTGTGAGTTTTGATAATGTTGTCAGCAGTTACTGCCTTTATCATTAAGGTGAAAGAGAGTCAGAGAGAAGTGATGTTGGATAACATTTTTCAACATAATCTTTTCATTTGAACTCTTGCAACCATGTCGTTTAAATTGACACTTGAATTGCTAACACGTATATAAATGACCAGCAAACTGGGCTTTTTACAACTTGTTCACAGAGATTTTCATTTAAATTTTTCAAAAGACTTTCAAAAGACTTTCAAAAGACGATGTGTGGAAATCATTGCTCAACAACAAACCAACTCTCCGGCACCTGTTAAACCTCATCTCTAAGCTACAGCACTTCATAGAATTGTTATTCATGACATAAAAGAGAAAGAACCAGGAGGTTTAATGTTTAAAGAAATTACATTAAAAGAATATGACTCATCTGACCACCAGGTGGCCTTGTTTGACCAGCATGCCTCTGTCTGACAGGGTAAAGGCATTTAGGAAGGCACAGCGCAAAATGTTTCAGTGCATCAACTTTCATGTAGGCTCAAATGGGTCTTAAAGGTGGACTCTACCAATTGTACACATGCAGGTAGTTTACTCATCATGAGTACTACTCAGCCTGTGAAGGTGTTGTTAAGTCTGTGACACTCAATCGACATCATTTGGGTAATTTGAGCAGGGAGACTACTTTATAATTACAGATTTTATAAAGTTACTTCAAATCCAGTCACGATTACATCCAATCATGACACCAGAAATGCAATGACAACACAAAACAGATATACTGTCTACTCTAAATGTGCATACGCCTTCATCAGAAAGTTTCGTTCAGAAAAAGCAAAGTCGCAGAGCAGAACATCTCAACTAAGGACCAGCACCCATACTTTCATTTATAAGGCAGCTGAACACACTGCTCATGTAGCTTCTTAAGCTGTACATATAAATTATAGATGCTTTTTATCTGGTCAAATTTATTTTGATACATTCATTCCCTTATTTATTATTGACAAAGTTGCTGGCACTTTATGAAACTACTACTTAAGTATTACAAATGTTTGCATTTTATTCACACTATCTTCTATACAAATACCATAACAATGTTTTTAAGTATGTGTTTTTATCGGAGAGATTTTATTCCTTTTTCATTATAATAGCAAAAAGAATCAAAACTTAAAATCTAATTAACAGTCACATCAACTTCGACCGGCATTATCTACTTCACCCTGATAAGGACTGCTAATGAGACCAGGAGATATGAAGGGCGTCATGGCAGGCAGCTGGGCTCCAGTCAGGAGAAGGTGTGACAGTCGTGGCATTTGCAAGGCATTTAATTCCCGTCAGCTCCATCATCCTTCCCCATTGCGTCAGAACCTGAGTGGGGACCTAACAGCTGCATAGGACACGGAGTACTTTGGTTCATCTTAAAATCACTCACTCACTCACTCACACACACACACACACACACAGACATATATTAAGTTGCATGAGTATCAAAAAGAACACGCTGCTCCACATTTAGAGGGGACTGCAGGAAACAACAGATGTGACTGACTGCATGTATACATGGTGAAGAGCGTGAGAAGAAAAAGAAGACATTCATTCATATGCATGAAAATGTTAGAATAATTGTACATGGTGACACCTGAGTGACCTTTTTTTTTAACACAGGTTTTTGTAGTTGTTGTAAGGGGACACACATAACCTTGAATCACTTGTATTTGTACTACTACTACTACTACTACTACTATTACTAAAATACTTAAAGAATTGTAGCAATTTCTGCTAAAAATGGATGGAAAGCTGGTGACCTACACGTTTCTCTCCTTGTCTTTCTTCTACAGGTCTGGATAAGTTTTCTGTTCTGATCTCAGTCTGGGCAAATTAGGCACCAACCAGAGGCAACATTTTTATGATGTCATCATTTAAACATTTATAGTGCTCTCAATAATCAACTATCACAACACCTCATTGGACATTATTGCTTATTTGATCAGAAAATTGTATCAGCAAATTGTATTTGCCTGAACAACACGTATTCTACACACTGACTGCTCTGATAACTGTACCAAGGCCACTGCTGTGTCAGTGGTGACCTAAAATGCTGAGTCACTATGATCAGTTAGGGCAAAATCAAATCCTGCATTCCACAGAAAATGGTGAACAACAAGGCAGTGGTGGAAGAAGCATTTAAATCCTTTACTTAAGTGAATATATACCACAATGTAAAAATGTAAAAATAAAGTAAAAATACTGCAATTAACATTTTACATTATGTATCTTCAACTAAACATACATAAAGTCTCAAAAATATAAGTACTCATTATGCAGAATGGCCCCTCTTAGAATTTTACATTATTACAAACATTACATAATTGGATGATTATTACTGGTGCTTTAACAGGTGCTTTAACATTTAAAGCGCCATTTTTATGTTGTAGCAGGTTGAGGTAGAATATTTCAGTCTGAAATGCAGTAGCATAAAATCAGTGCA